AAAATTTTTTACAGTGATCATTGAGTATCAAGCTCAACCTTAACCTGGTCCTATTAAAGCAAGAACAGAGAGAGAATTAGTAGGTGAAGATATTAGTATTGGACTCAGAATTTAGCTGTAATATCAGCAGAGCATATAACTCGGCTCTTCATAACAGAAAGCTAAAATATTAATTATGCAATACCCTATGTTGACATAATTGTTTAGGAACAGAGGAATTATTTGCCTCCTCTTTGCAAAGTCAGGAAGAGAACAGGAGTAGATGTGGACTACAGGACCAGAAATTTAGAAGAGTTTAACCCCTCCCTTCCCCCTCAAATTGCAACAGAAGAAGCAATAAAATAAAAAGCGGATACAAAAGGGTTGTTTACCATACAACATTGGAAACAGGAAAGTTAAACCGGCCTAAATAAACTTTCTTCTCAAGAATGTCGCTAACAGCAATTTTTCATTTAACAAATTCCCAGAGAGCATCTCCTGACAGTCCCCTTCGCTATTTTCCTCTACTGCAGCTGCATTCATGTTGCAAACAGGAAATAACCATTTGAGACATCATATACACTTTTTTTTTTGGGGGGGAGTAATATCATTTGCAGATTAGGAGAAAACTCTATACAAAAGTATACAGACTACAAGCTGAATTAAAGCAAAAAAAAAGTCTCAAGTTATTTCAGACTGGTTTCTGAACATAGCACAAAACAGAACTTCTCTTGGCTAATACGTACCTCAGGGTCAAGATCATCCAAAACAGTTTCCAGTTGTTTCAGTTCTTCTTCTGACAGTTTGCCGAGAATTTCATCCTCATCGAGATCTTTGTATTTGTCCAAGTCCTTTCGAAATGGGAGTGTCATGACTTGGGCAGTATCAAGTTGCTCAAACCCAAATCTTATTCTTAATCAGATCTACAAAAAGAAGAAACGGGCACAGTTAAACATCCCAGTTACAAACGTCTTCAACTTCCAAATACATTTCTAAAATGAAAGCTTTTTCATGCATTATTCATATCTATTTATTATTCCACAATTGAAAAAGAGTACTGGAAAGCTATCTATGTCTTGCTTCTTCACTGACAAGAATCAGTGAAGTCTCAGGAATCAGTCTTGCCATGCCTTTTCCCATCAACAATTAGGTTTTTTTTGTTTTAAGTTAAGCTATATATATTTTTATAGATTAATGCCAATGCCTAGTTTCCTTAACGAGACTCCAAGGCATTCCCAAAGAGTGAGGTAGGCTGGGAGGAAACCACCAAAAAATTATACCTACTATTTCTGATCCCAGCTTGCTGCTATCAGTTTTTACAGGTGCTGAAGTCAAAAGAACAGTTAAGATCCTTTATATGTGTTGTTGCTGGTGCTGTTTAAGGTCAATTTTAAAAACTGACTAAGATAGATAGAGTAAAGGAGAACTACACTACAAGCAGGCAAACTAGGTAATAAGCAAGGACATGAGTCAGTAATAACTACAGAGGAAACAAAGGATGTTTGCCTCCTGAGTTAATTATATCACTACAATTGAAGTAACATTTTGTTCTGTCAGATCAAAATTAAGATACCTTGATGGAAGGCTTAGGAAATACTTACTTCCTAAGTAACAGCAGTCTACTCAGTCCTACCCTATTCTTCTTTATTACCCAGCTGACCAACAGAGGTCAGAGAACTCACCACCAAAAACAAAGAACAGACTGAATAGCTGCTCACTAAGTGCCGTATTTAGAAGAAAATCCAGGTCCTTCAAAAGACTCAAGTCTGTACTATTTCTTGCACACAAAGAGAGCATAGACAACCTTGATTCTGATAGTCAAAGTTTTAAGCATTTGATTTAGAAGAACACACACTAACGACTACAATGTTTAAGCACTCATTTATTTCTGTCATTTTTCTGTAAGAAATTCTTGGATTTACCTTTTCCTCAGCCAAATTTTTGCTTCCAGTTGAACACACAGAGAAGAAGGTAACTTGAAAGATTCTCTATAAATGAGAAAGAGTATCCATGATGCGTTTCCAGAGCAAAACCTAGACCCAACACTTTCAGGCTCATGAGCCTCGCTAACCTTTTTCTTGGTTCTAATAAAAATACTCAACACAGAAGTTAGGCATACAGTAAATGTTATTTGTCCTGTGGAGTCAAAGCTCCAGTTCAGATGCTCATATCATATACTCTAACTGCCTTACTTCAAACCTGAAGTTAGGCTGTACTTCAACTACACTTCAAAAACAGATCAATCTAAAGTTACTGCCTCTTAAAAAAAAAAAGAAAAGGAAGGCTGTATATACATGCTATGTTATATCATAGGATCCTGCTTACAGGATTCCTTCATCTCAGTTGTTTACAGCCAGAAAGGTCTCTCTTTGAATACTGTCCGTCATACTTATATCCTGCGATATTTTAATTCAGAGACACTGAACAGACATGAGCATACAAAGGTCCATCCAAAGTATTCAATCAAGTTTGCTTGTAAAGCAAGCGTGGTTTAACAGTCGCCTTAGCAAGAATGGTGTATTTTTGGTTCCTATCAACAAGTACAAAGGAGTTAGGAATTTATTTCAGCTATTTTCAGGATGATCCCTTATGAAAAATAAGGAATTCTCAATTTTATGTTAAATTATGTGAAAAGAATGGTGTCTGGCTTCCCTTGGGTTAAAGCCAATCATGTTGAAAGAGCTTTGACCTTTCACAAGAGGCCACAGATGAGAAGGTCAGAAACAGAATCTACTAGATACAGCAAAAGTACAGATTAGCATACCTTTGTTTTTCAAAGCAATGTTCCAAAAGTAACTAAAGGAGCGCTCTAAAATCTAGCACACCATCTGCTACGGTTTTCATAATCTTGTGGCATTTCTGTTTCTAGAGGTGCATAATAGTTGAAGAACAATTAGATTATAGCTGCAGTGGATGCCACACAATCTGCATGCAAACTTCTGATTCCTAGAGCCTTAATGTTTTCCCCTTCCTTACAATTTAAACTATTACACACTATCATAAAAACATTTCCTGCAGCCAATTACACAGCATTGTTCATGACCAAGCTGCACAGTCTGAATCCTGAATCAGCATACTGTTATTTTCCACATTTCTGCATGTCCTTTTACATTCAAATACTAAAAGCTACAGTTTTAAATAGTAATTATAAGGAACAGAATAGTTAATATACTGGAGAATAATGCTCCCCTTACTTGGATGAAGAGTACCACTACATGCCTGCGTAACCATACCTTACATACAGGTAGGCTATACTTCCTCTCTATTAGCAGCTGAGAAATGCTGTCAGCCGCAAATAACTACCTTTTACTTACCGCATTTATATCTTTTACATTGGAAAACTACTCATCTCTTATAATACATTAATGTTGAGGTCATAGTCCTTGGTCTCACTTGTCATTATCATTCAATCAAAGTATCCATTTCAAACACTGTTTTGGCTGACTTGATGGCACAATTATTTGCATATCATTTCACAATATGAGTTCTGAGGGGTTAAAAACAAGTAGGTCATCTAAAACTTAAATTTCTAAAGTAGGAGAAATGCCAGTACAAGTCTCCGAAGATGACATTTCAGTCTTTCGCATCCAATTGCAACATTCAGAGAGGACCAGAGTCTAGTCACTACATATTTAGCCGTAACAGCTGGATTAGTAAGTAAAGACTAGAATTCTCATGCAAAAAAGTGAAAAATAAAGAAGCATAGCAAAAATACCACTAATTTTGTAATCGAGTCTTCTCCTTAGCAAGAGAACAGAATCATATTGGGCATGGTAAGTTTAAAAGAGGCCACAGAATGAGTTAAGAGCACAGTTTCTAACACCTATCAATCAGAACTGAACTACTTTTAAAATATAATAGCATACTTAACATGAGACATCTTTAAAAAGTTATGACAGTAACACTGCTTAGCACATCTGTATTACACAGGAATTGTATGATAATGACTTTCAGATCATTCCCTACCGAAAAAAAAAAAAAAAACCACCAAGGCATATAAAACATACAACGTAATGAGTTTTTAAAAAAAGGTGTCAAGAATTCTCATTGCCCAAATAGGGCATACCGGCAAGCAGATGCTATAGTCTCAGCCAACAAAACCCTTCACTTCCTATTAAACACATTAAGATGCTACTATTTAAACTGACATTCTCATTTGCTTTCCATCAGTCACTGTAACAGTGTAGTGTGGAGAAAAAAAATACATGCATAATTTTATTAATTACAAAATCTCGGAAGGAACAGAAGTTATTTAGATTGTGAAATATCCGTGGCACATCTTACTACAAAACAGTTAACAAAAACTGGTAATTTCCGCTTTACAAATACTTTACTTTTTTTTTTAAATGAGCAAAGCTAGTTTTCTTCTAAGTATGTTTCTTAGCTTTACCATTAAAACATTATACATGTTAAAAGTCAAAAGGACTAATATTCTTTCTTCAGATATATAACTGAAATGTAAAGTAAGTTCTTTATTCTAATAACTCAACGGTTGCATAAGAAACATTCAGGAACAATGGAAACAAACACGAGCACTGGAAATTCAATTAATCAGAAGTGATGACTTTATTAAGCAGAAGAGAAGTTAGAAGAGATGAGTAATGAAAACATTCTGATGGACATCACAAAGACAGAAAGCTTGTCACTAGTCCTCAACCTGAGAAAGCAATGAACTAAAGAATTTAAGAAAGCGTTATCTTTATTTTATGCCATTTTATAATTACCTGAATCATACCCTGAAGAACAGTTAAGCAACTTTCATACACCTCTTACCCACATTTAAAATATTTTTATCCTCTCCCGTTTACAAGTATATCAAAAAAATTAGTGTTTAAAAATAGCTAGTTTCTGATTTTATTTCAAAGACTCAGCCCTCATAAATTAATCTGCTATCTTTAAAGACACAATTTCTTGCGACCCTAACAGGAATAACTCTCGGGAAATATCTTACTCACAGGAAACTACGGTCTTATTAAAGTCTACTGTAAATGGTTTCCATAACTTGGATTTTAAAATAGAATTGACATCATGAAAAACAAACGGGGCTGGTTTTGGCCAGCATGTTCACAGAGTTCACTTTAATCTCACGTGTTACTTTAGAATCTTCTTCCAATCAGCCTCTTGATGAACCTTAACTGGCGAAGGAGGATCCGCAGGCAGAGTTTAACAACATTGCCGCATCCATCAAAGCCCTGAAACAGTTTCAGATGCTTAATGGAGCCTAATCTAAGCTTTTCCCCAGGGAAGTCCTACAATGGCAACAATTTTAACTTCCAGTGTGCAAGATTATACATAACTGCTTATAAACACTGTGTTTACATTTAAGAGTTATCTTTACCAAAACCAGAAGAAGTATTACTGGAGACACATATGGACATTGTTACAGTAATTCCAACAAGTTCCTTATGATGCTTTTGTAATATTTTACAATACCTCTGCTGAACAGTCCAGCAGTGGTTTTCTATCAGAAAGTTCTTAAAAACTAACCTGACCCTTCCAAATTTCCACCTTGAGGTATGGCACATGACATCGGTTCTCTTGACCACTGAGCTAGTGCACATTCACCAGAAGTCTGAGACTTTGTATAACCAGTAGGTGGCATCTCATCTTTGCCTACACTTTCTGTCAGAGTAAGACATTTCTTCCAGTTAGTAAGAAATGGCTATTCTCCCACATGAACAAGCCTGAGGCGTCATTGTGTTCTAAGAAATAATTCACTAAGTTTTGTACATAGCAAACCGTGCTCTCCCAACTTGAGATTTTTCAATACAGAGGACTGAGGTGAACAGACAGCTAGTTTTAGTTAGAACAAGTACAAGAACAATGAAGAATAAAGAGGTATTTGCCAATGTACTTGCTAATGGAAGAATCTATTTCCAGGTCCTGCTAGCTTTTCCTCTATATTAGAGGACACTGGGAAAGCAAAGAAAGCTTGCTTTACTATTTCATACTTCCTGTACACCACTACACAGAATTACGACACAGTTACCTTGCTAGTAGGACGCACTGAGTGATGACTAAGTTGCCAAGATAGTTTTGTCCAATAAAAACTTATTCCTATATGCCTGTTCTTGAAAAAGAATCATCCACGCTACAAGACTATAGAAATATAACCATATGTTCTGGTATACAACAGAGGTGACAGATTCAAGAACCTGAATTGCTCATTCACGAGGGTTAACGTGGTGTGGAAGTGACACCTCTTGAAAAGAGTATGCAGAGATTACTTCAGCACACTCATCTTAAAGATACTTCCAGACTTGCTCATCAAACTAGCTGCAGGGCAGCTATTATCCTCACAAATAAATACAGGACTTAGACCAGAGAACAGAAAGATAAGTACCTCAGAAAAATTTTGAAGAGGCTTGCTACACACTTTTCCTAAAGCAGCTAAAAATCCCAGTTACTGCAGCTACTGACTGCCTCGAGGAGATGGAAGTTCCTCCAGCAGAAATCTTTGCTCCAGTTATCTGTTCCCACTCACACACGCACAGAGCAACACCACTGGATCAGGTGTTACAAAAGCTCCAGAATAAGAATTATAAATAAGTAAATTGATTACAATTTTTTCAGACAACGCCTAGATTTTCTTTAACAGATACGGCTCACCCATAGAAACCGATACACAATATCTATCTACTCTTCAAGGAACTGCCCAGGGACATTTCAGTTAATAAGCAATCCCAGATATGAGTTATCAGAACATTCATAAAAACATTCAAACACATTCATTAGAAAAGTGGCAAAACATACCAGCCTAGAACAGAACAGCAGTAGTAGCTCACTTTATTCAGTTTGTATTGCTTCTTTCTTGTTGCTTTTCACCTAGGACATCTGAAGCTGGGTTTCTGCAGTCATCTAAGTATCCTAAATTTGTATTTAATACTTCAACATGTGCAAGAGAAGCAAAGGGGAAAACTTCCAAGTACTAGCCAATTTCCAGTTCTCCATTGCTTCAAATACTGTCTTTCAACATCTGCATACCTAACATGTTAGCAAAACAGTAGAATATATTCAGCATATTATAGCAAGTTTAAAGCATATAGTAACTTCTCTAGAACGGCACTTATTTTCATCACACAATTTGTGTCTACCCACAAAGAAGCAGGCAGATAAGCTTTCAGTATTGGCCCCTGAAAGTTATGAGCAAGATTCTCTGGAAGTATAGGAAAACAAATATATAGACATGCAAAGGGGCCTTCTGAGCCTCGGTCATTTCTCAGTGCAAACATACTGTTCTAACAGGCCTATTTCCTGTTTGAGCATAGTCTCATGAGAGAAGTTCTCATTACCGGAAGACTTTTATGTTAGTGCTACAGAGAGTAGATACCCTTTTGTCAACCATGGATATACCGGAAAAACATTCTGTGGTAATTGTCATTAACATGCATGATTTATAAGTTGTAGAAAACATATCCAGCAAGTTGAAAGAATTATGCTAACCAAATCCGCAGGCAAAGTTTTTAAAGTTACAGAAGTAACAAAGTTGTAAAGTTTTAGTTTTCATGGCGAAGTTAGGGGCTGGCTATGAAATTACCAATATCCTCTATCGGAACACCCACTAACCCACTGAACTTCGCTCAATTTCTCTATGTTCTGAAACCACAAAGTCACTTTAACTGTTAGAAACAGAAGAACTAAACTGCTCAAGAGTTTATGTTTACATAGGAAAACTAAAAAAAACCTCCGCCCTATACACTTTGGCTTGGCACGAAGAAAGTTTTGACCTTTTCACTCACGCACTCGCCCGATTTTCGACTCCATCGGCAGGGCGACGTGCAGCGGCACATCAGCCACCTGCAGCCCAGGCAGAACCGCTCAGCGTAAGCGCGCGTCTCGCGCCGGCCCCGCAGCGAGGACGCGGGAGCAGCCGGGG